GCCTCCCAAAGTGCTGAGATTACAGGCGTGAGCCACCATGCCTGGCCTCGTATGAGAATTTCTCTAAGTGAAGAGTCTAACCTAGGAGAGATAAATCTACCCTCAGTTCATAAACACGGACAGCATAGGAGGCTGAGGGAACTACCCTCCAAATTGTAGCCTGATTCAGATTTTGGAGAAGCCTTTCTCTGGCTCTGGGTATATACTCTGTGTTTTTTTTTCCCCAAGATGGAGTCTTGCTCCGTCTGTCACCCAGGCTGGAGTGCGGTGGCACAATCTTGGCTCACTGCAACCTCCGCCTCCCAGGTTCAAGCAATTCTCCTGCCTCAGCCTCCTAAATAGTTGACACTACAGGTACATGCCACCACACCTGGCTAACTTTTTTGTATTTTTAGTAGAGACGGGGTTTCAACTTGTTGGCCAGGCTGGTCTCAAACTCCTGACTTCATGATCTGCCTGCCTCAGCCTCCAAAAGTGCTGTGATTACAGGCGTGAGCCACTGCGCCTGGCTGACACTCTGCATTTATTAAAACCTAAGCATCAGATCGGACTCAATGATAAGGTAATACTTAGTTTAAGAGTGAAGGGAAAGTAGGCAGTAAAGAATGAATACTGGCTGGGGGCAGTGGCTCATGCCTCTAATCCCAACACTTTGGGATGCCAAGACTCCAGCCTAGGAGACAAGAGTAAAACACAGTTTAAAAAAAAAAAAAAAAAAAAAAAAAAGGAATGAATACTGGCTGGGTGCGGTGGCTAACGCCCGTAATCCCAGTACTTTGGGAGGCCAAGGCAGGTGGATCACGAGGTCAGGAGTTCAAGACCAGCCTGGCCAACAAGTTGAAACCCCATCTCTACTAAAAATACAATAAATAAATAAATAAATAAAATTAGCTGTCTGTAATTCCAGCTACTTGGGAGGCTGAGGCAGAAGAATCACTTGAACCCAGGAGGCAGAGGTTGCAGCAAGCGGAGATCATACCACTGCACTCCAGGCTGGGCAACAAAGCGAGACTGCATCTCAAAAAATAAATAAATAAAATAAAAATAAAGAATGAATACCAAAGAGAAAAAAAGTGATTGTTTTTAGAAACAGGTATGAAAATCATGCCCAGAATAGAGCACCGCCAAAGGCATGTGCAAATGAGAGACAGTCAAATCGGGGTGGCCCTGGGGGAATTCTGCAAGGCTGACCCACAAATATAGACCACTCAGAGAAATACTGCAGAGATCAATTGAATGGGTGGGTTTCACAGCCTCAGTTATAATTTCTTACCAGCATCCCTCATCCTTTAAGAGGTGCTCTGTTGGGTCAGAACCACATTATGTAGCAAGCACTAGGGAAGGAAAGGGGAGTGCATATCCCAAGACATAAGCAAGAAGAATAGGCTTCAGGGATCCCTAGACAAGTTCATACCTTGTTCTTGTTGTTGAAGGCCAGAGCCCGAACCTTGCAGTTGTCAGGGTTTGTGTCTTCTTTGGGGATGTCCTTTAAGGCCTTGTGAGTGATGTGTGCATACACAGGGACCCGCGACACATTGTGTCTTGCATCACTTTTGGTCAAAACATCATCTGTCACCTCCCAGAGTCCCATAGAACCATCACGTGAGCCTGCAGGGCCGGGAGTACACATATGTCAGATATACCTACCCCTCTGTGGGAAATTCCACAGAAGCCAAGATGGGCTTTCATAGTCTAGCTATTTGTGCATCATCCTCATATGTACTGAAGCTTGGCCAGATGGCCCAGCCTAAACACAGGACAGTAGGCATTTTTTTTTTTTTAAGACGGGGGTCTCGCTAATTCACCCAAGCTGGAGTGCAGTGACATGAGGGCACGAACTCAGCTCACTGCAACCTCTGCCTCCCAGGTTCAAGTGATTCTCCTGCCTCAGCCTCCCGAGTAGCTGGGATTATAGGCATGTGCTGCCATGCCTGGCCAATTTTTGTATTTTTAGCAGAGATGGGGTTTCACCATGTTGTCCAGGCTGGTCTCGAACTCCTGACCTCAAGTGATCCACCCACCTTGACCTCCCAAAGTGCTGGGATTACAGGTGTGAGCCACCACGCCAAGCCAAGTAGTAGACATTTTAATAGCTACACTAAGAGAATGATTCACCTAAGGTCTAGACATTAAAATATAACTTTTAAGTTTGACATGGTTGTTGAAATTTATTATTATTATTTTTTGAGACAGTCTTGCTTCATCACTAGGCTGGAGTGCAGTGGCACAATCTCAGCTCGCTGCAACCTCTGCCTCCTGGGTTCAAGCAATTGCCATGCCTTACCCTCCTGAGTAGTTGGGATTACGGGTGCCTGCCACCATGCTCGACTATTATTTTTTCTATTTTTAGTAGAGAGCGGGTTTCACCATGTTGCCCATCACACCTGGCCTATTCTTTCTTTCTTTTTTTTTTTTTTTTTGAGACGGAGTTTCGCTCATGTTACCCAGGCTGGAGTGCAATGGCGCGATCTCGGCTCACCGCAACCTCCGTCTCCTGGGTTCAGGCAATTCTCCTGCCTCAGCCTCCTCAGTCGCTGGGATTACAGGCACGCGCCACCATGCCCAGCTAATTTTTTGTATTTTTAGTAGAGACGGGGTTTCACCGTGTTGACCAGGATGGTCTCGATCTCTTGACCTCGTGATCCACCCGCCTCGGCCTCCCAAAGTGCTGGGATTACAGGCTTGAGCCACCGCGCCCGGCCCGGCCTATTCTTTCTTTGAGACAGAGTCTCACTCTGTCACCCAGGTTGGAGTGCAGTGGCATCATCTCAGCTCACTGCAACCTCCAACTCCTGGATTCCAGTGATTCTCCTGCCTCAGCCTCCCAAGTGGCTGGGATCACAGGCACATGCCACAGCATCCTGCTAAATTTTTATTTTTATCTATTTATTTTTTGAGATGCAGTCTCAGTGTGACGCCCAGGCTAAAGTGTGATGTCATGATCTCGGCACACTGCATCCTCCACCTCCCAGGTTCAAGTGATTCTCCTGTCCCAGCCTCCCAAGTACCTGGGACTACAGGCACATACCACCAAGCCTGGCTAATTTTTGTATTTTTAGTAGAGACAGGGTTTCACCATATTGGCCAGGCTGGTCTTGAACTCCTGACCTCAAGTGGTCTGCCTGCCTCGGCCTCCCAAAATGCTGGGATTACAGGTGTGAGCCGCTGTGCCTGGCTTTTTTTTTTTTTTTTTTTTAAAGAGATGGGGTTAGCCGGGCGCGGTGGCTCAAGCCTGTAATCCCAGCACTTTGGAAGGCTGAGGTGGGTGGATCACGAGGTCAAGAGATCGAGACAATCCTGGTCAATGTGGTGAAACCCCCGTCTCTACTAAAACTACAAAAAATTAGCTGGGCATGGTGGCGCGTGCCTGTA